TGTACGTAAGAATAATAATAACAACCATTCTAAGGATTTGACTGTATCTGAAATAGAAAGGGGAGAAATAGCTTTAATGTTATTAATACAAAAAGAGTCGTTTAATGGTGAAACAGATGATAAACTAAGACGGCTCAGACCATTTGTCGATAGTCAGGGTCTAATAAGAGCTAAGTCTAATGTTGCTTATCGTGACGACTCTAACAGCTTTAAGTTTCCCATCATATTACCTTCTGAACATCCAGTAGTCAAATTATTGATATTAAGTGCACATAAAGATTTGTTGCATGCCGGTACTACATTATTGATATCGCATTTAAGAGAAAAATACTGGATTTTAAAATCACGTAAAACTATAAGGAACTGTATAAGAAAATGTGTAACATGTCAGAGATTTAAGGCTAAAAGAGTAGAGACAGTCCCAGGCGTTTTACCAAATGATAGGGTTCGTGATTCAGCCATTTTTGAAATCGTAGGGTGTGATCTTGCAGGACCCTTGCACTTAAAGGATGGACGAAAATCGTATATTGTGCTCTTCACCTGTGCGGTTTATCGTGCTATCCATATGGAATTGGTTACCTCATTAACAACTGAATCATTTTTCAAGCTTTAAGGCGTTTTATCGCACGTCGAGGACGCCCTACCACCATATATTCCGATAATGGGACAAATTTTGTGGGTGCAGAGAGAGTTCTGCAAACCATTGACTGGGACTGCCTCTGCTCTAAGGCTGCTGAAAAGAGAATACAACGGAAATTTAATCCTCCATCCGCCGCTTGGTGGGGTGGATGGTGGGAGCGTTTAATACAATTTGTAAAACAAATATTAAGGAAGATTTTAGGTCGTGCTTCTCTTGGTTATGAAGAGTTACTCACCGTCTTGTGCGATTGTAAAAGAATTGTTAACTGAAGACCACTTACGTACGTGTCTGACGATATTGAAGATCCCTTGCCTTTAACTCCAGAAAAATTTCTGCATGATACTCCACAGTCGGGTGTACCTGATATTGACAATGTGGACAAAGAAAAATTGAGTAGAAGAGCGAAGTATCTCCAGAGAATGAGAGAATTGTTAAGAGTGAGATTTCGCTCTCAGTATCTAAATTACAAAAATAAACCTCTCTCTGTAGGAGAAATTGTCTTGCTGGAGGATCAAAATAAAAACCGTGCATATTGGAATTTAGCACGCGTTATTTGGGTGATCCCTGGTCGAGATGGCAACATAAGAGTTGCTGTTGTAAAAAGTAATAATTCAGAGTTCTTGAGACCAATACAGAGATTGTTTAGATTGGAACTGGTTAATATAATAGATAATACTCAAAATGATCAAGTTCCTTTCATCACCAGTAGTGGTAGAGTTGTAAAATTACGAATAATGTAATTCATGTCTTTGAGTTATTACGATTTATTTTGTTGTGCGATTATTGTTGTATTATTCCTCAGTATTAATTTTGTTTTCAAGTATATATGATTTAAGTATTAAGTAATTTTCTTTGTACTATAACCATCATTTATATTGTTGTAAGTTTTATGTTTTGAGTGTGTAGCCATCCACTCAAAAGGTGGGAGAATAGTGGCGACACACCGCCTTTCTGTGGCAACCCTAAAGAATTCGTCTATCACGAGGATCACGTGCCCAGATGCATCATTACGTCTACGTCTGCTTTTCTGTTTGATAGTTAGTTGCATTTAAGATTTTGTAGAATTAGAAATGGCGTGAAAATAAATGTTGGTGTTTTTAAAAAGTGTCGGTTCAGATTTTCGAACTTATGATTTACTTGTTAAGCAACAAATTCTTCCTACTGTTGGATTATTCTTACTGAATTATTTTACTTCCAACATTAAAACTTAGTTTTGTTTTTTGTTCTTTTTACTACTCGGGCAATGGCGCCGACCGGCTGAAGCTGTAGACGAAATGACACAACTGAAACGGAAGCGGAAAGCCGTGCGAAGTAATGTTTTTCTTGCTTTTCTACTGAAATTGATACTTTGAACGATGATTTCTCAATTGAGAAAGGTTGAATATATTTGTAATCGCTTAACAACTGCTTTAAATGATATGAAACTAATAGATAACGAAATTCACAACTTCCTTTCTGACGATGAATATGGAAGTGATAATTTGCAATGTGAAAACTACATAGATGTTGGTGAATCCGCAATTTTCAAAGCACGAAAAATTATTCAGAAGAAATTATCGCCAACTGCAAATAATGTTACTGCTTCGAATATGGATACCAAAGTTTTGGCGATGACATTTGGCGACCCTTCTATTACAGCGCCTGTGACTCAATCATATACAGTTAAATTGCCAACAATTAAACTGCAATCATTTACAGGATTTACAAAAGAAATTAAACAATGTTTTTGGGAACAGTTTAAATCTTCCATAGATGCCAATCCACATCTTTCTGTTATTGATAAACATGTTTTCCTCAGAGGATTATTTAGATGGTGAAGCTAAACGCCTTGTTGATGGAATTAGTGTAATAGGGAGACACCTATGAAACAACAAAAAATTGTTGGAGGAAAGATACGGAAATAAAGATCGAATTATCCAATCACAACTTAGATTACTTAGAACATTTAAATGTTATTCAAGACCCATCTCATACGCATCTAAATGATCTTTACATAGAATGTAACAGAAGAATTCAAGCTTTAACTGCTCTGTGTGAAAATAATGAAGCATACGGTAGAATCCTAGTCTCAAAAATTATTCGTGCGTTCCCCAATGATATTTGTTGCCGCTGGATTATTTATGCCAAGCGTGAAAAACTAAACAAAGGTAATTGTGGCAAACGACGCACGCTCCACTCTTGGGGAACGGATTGAGCCTCCAGACAGACAAGAATCGAAAAAGAAAGTTTGTTTTTTGAGAACTGGCAACGATGAGTGTGTGCTTTTAGAACAGTGACGCAGTAGAATAATGACGCGTTTAGATGTGTATAACAATGATGCTAAGTAGTTAAAAGTGTTTTTTTTTTTTATTTTATTTATTATTTTTTTTTTAATGTTGTAATGATTTAGAAATTGTTCCTCTTTTGTGTGAAATGTCAAATAAAGTGATTCATACAAATAGTGCCAATTTTAGATCAGTTTGAAACCAAATCGGAGTGGTTTTATGGTTTTTAGAGTTTTATGGTGGGAACAGGGAAATTCTGAGCGTTTGAAAATATACAGGCATAGAAGAGTTGTCTTTGGAATAACCAGCAGTCCATTTCTCTTAAATGCAACACTAACGAAATTAATGAAATGAAGTACCAGAAAATTATCGTCCGAGTGCTAATAAATTAGTAGAATCCTGGTACGTTGATAATTTAGTTACAAGTGTGAAGGATGAATCAGAATTAAAGAAGCTAAAAAATGATGCCACTGAAATTTTGGCAAGTGCTAAATTTGAATTACAAGAGTGGGCATATAACTATCCTCGAAATGAAAGGGATGCATTTGTTGTTGAACCCATTTTAGAACAGTCGAAGCTTGATAAATTGAAATGGAGAATGATTTTTCGATGATCCTTGTGAAGCTAAAACGGTCAACATTTTGGGACTTCTTTGGGATTTGCATGATGACACATTAAGCTGTGATATTAAGGGATTAAATGAATCAAAAAATAAACCTGTTACTAAAAGAACAATTTTGTCTGAAATTCATAAAATTTATGACCCTATTGGAATTCACCTGCCCTATAATTTTAATTCCTAAAATTCTGTTTACAAAACTGCTGGGAATTAAAAGTAACTTGGGATGAAGCTCTTCCTGAAGAAATTCAAAGGAAATACATGAAATGGAAAAATGATGCAAATCGTTTAACAGAAGTAAAAATTCCCCGACAGATGATGCTTAATATTGATTCTGAATTGAAATTATCCTTTCATATATTTTGTGATGCATCCCGAATGGCATATGCAACCTGCTTTTATTTAAGAAATGAAAATGAAAATGAAGTTTCTTGTCGTTTAGTTCAAGCACGATCTAGAGTTGCTCCTCTAAAACCCACATCAGTTTGTAGACTAGAATTATTAGCTAGTGTTGTTGGTGCAAGATTAATGAAATCTATAAAACAAGATTTGAAGGAAGAAAATATGCCTACGTTTTATTATTGGACAGATTCAAGGAACACATTGTACTGGATTAAGAATGAAGAAAATTGGGGTGTATTTGTTATGAATAGAGTGAAAGAAATATGAGCTCTTACTAATCTTGATACATGGAATTATGTTCCTAGCAACTTGAATCCTGCGGATATTCCGTCAAGATGATGTTCTGTTGAAACTATTAAAGCCAAAAGATGGCATGAAGGTCCAGTATGGTTGAAATTGAATCCAGACTGTATTGGCCTACTTGTGATATTTCTCCTGACAAAGATATGATTGATCGAGAAAGAAGAAAAACAGTTGTATCCTCGTTAACAAATGTAGATGAAGAATTTTCGCATTTCTCACGAATTTCTTCTTTTGAGAAAATAATTAGAGTTACAGCCTGGATAAAAAGGTATATTGACAACTGCAGAGAGATAAAAACAGAACAACGTCAAAGAACTTAGAAATCGAAGAATTGAATGCAGCTGAAGTCCTTGTTTGGAAAATTGTGCAAGGGGTCTCCTTTAAAACAGAAAAGGATAAACGCTTACGACATTTAAAACCATTTGTTGATTCATCTGGTTTTTTAAGAGTAAAGTCAAGAATATTAATGAGACAAGACTTCGAAAATTTTAGAACACCTGTAATCCTACCTCCTGAACATCCAGTTGTCTCTAAACTGATTATGGAAAAACATAAACAACAAATGCATTGCGGAACTCAGACTTTAATGGCAATGCTACGAGAAAATTTCTGGATTTTGAAAAGTCGTAAAACTATTCGTAAAGTGTTGAAAAACTGCACTAAATGTAGAAGATTTGATTCGAGGCCCACCACGGTACAATCCGCACCTTTGCCAAAAGACCGTGTTAAAGATTCTTCTGTTTTTGAAGTGACAGGTATCGACTTAGCTGGCCCTTTGTTTTTAAAAAAATGGATCGAAAACGTGGATCGTTTTATTTACATGTGCCATATACAGGGCAATTCATCTTGAACTTTTAACGCCTTTGTCAACAGATAACTTTTTATTGGCTTTCCGACGTTTTATAGCACGCAGAGGAAGACCTGAAATTGTCTACACTGATAACGGTAGTAATTTTATTGGTACAAATTCGCTCTTAAAAACAATTGATTGAGATAAACTTATTAAGAATCATGTTATCAACCGCATTAAATGGAAATTTATCCCACCAGCTTCTCCCTGGTGGGGTGGATTTTGGGAAAGAATGATTGGCCTGGTGAAAAACATTCTCAGAAAAGTTTTACGAGTAGTAGGTAATGCCTCACTGAAATATAAAGAACTCTCTACGATCCTTTGTGATTGCGAAAATATCTTAAATTGCAGACCATTAACTTATATTTCCGAGGACTTGGAACTGGAACCCTTGACACACACCTGCAATGTTTTTTCGTGATCTAAAAGAAAGTGGCGTTCCAGATCTAGACATTATTGCTGCCAAATACTTACAAAAAAGGTATTCATACCAGATGAAGGTTAGAGAAGATCTAAGAAAACGGTTCAGAACTGAATACTGAAAAACCATATTTTAAAAACAGAGAAATATGTTAAACTATCGGTTGGAGACATCGTGTTAATAGAAACACATGAGAAAAGAATTAAGTGGCCTCTGGGAAAAATTATAACTCATCCCAGAAAATGATGGTGTAGTTCGTTTAGCAAAATTACGCACCAAGAGTGGCGAAATCCTTCGACCCATACAACGAATTTATCCGTTGGAAGTCCATTTACAAACGGATAATATAGGAAACTGTTTGAGAAAGAAGCATTCTGATAAAAAAATGTGTGATAAGCCTACAACTTCTATTGGACCTACAGATTTTCGTGCCACTGACAAAGATCAGTCAGATGAACTCAATCAGAATCCCCTCAAAACAACTAGATGTGGACAAGTGATTCGAACCACTGAACGATTAAACCTCATGAACTTTCAACCAGACTGTGGCTGAGTTTCAACTTGGTGAAACTCATCGGGGGGGGGGGTGTCGCGAACGACGTACGCTCCGCTCTTGGGGAAAGGATTGAGCCTCCAGACCGACGAGAATCGAAAAGAAAGTTTGTTTTTTTAGACCTGGCAACGATGAGTGTATGCTTGTAGAACAGTGACGCAGTAGAATAATGACGCTTATAAATGTGTATAACAATGATGCTAAGTAGTTAGAAGTGTTTTTTGATGCTGTAATGATTTAGAAATTGTTCCTCTTTGGTGTGAAATGTCAAATAAAGTGATTCATACAAATAGTGCCAATTTTAGATGAGTTTAAACCAAATCGGAGTCTACAAAAGCGGCGGACCAGAATTCAAGAACGCGGATCATAAAGGTAAGCAACCTTTCTTCATTTGCTTATCTAGAATTTAGAATGATCTGTTTTTTACTGAATTGAAATGATAGTAATATTACTAGATTGATGAAGTTCTTGGCAGAAGAAGTGTAATGTGTAGTTGCAAGAATTAAAGGTACGTCTTTTTCTGATCACACCGTAAAGTGCACTGTAGAAAATTTTAATATCAATTCCAACACAGTAAACAAAGGTAAGAAAATTTCGCCATTTTGTTCATTTTGTGATACTACAGGATATTGGCTTCAATATTGTGAAACTGTTATTGTGAAACTGTTTTTACTCGTGTTCAGAAACTTAAAACTTCAAATAGCTGCTTTCTGTGTACTAACCGTGGTCATAGAGTTTCAAACTGCCCAAGAAAAAATACTGCACGATGCACTAAATGCAAGAAGGTTCATCATGTTTCTATTTGTCCTCCTGTTGAAAACAATCAACTGCGGATAACTAACAATGTTGTAAATCGCATAACCTTTCCTAAAACAATTTTCACACATTTGCAAACTGATCGTGTGTATGTTACTGGCCCCACAGGCATTACTATATTAACACGCTGCATTTTAGAGGGTGGTAGCCACGGAAGTTTTGTTCACACGAACCTCTTTGAAAAACTTAAGCTTAAAGTTGTCAGTTCTGCCTCACTTTCAGTTCAAGCGTTTGAATCTTTTACTTCACAAGAACAACGTAGATGTGTTCAACTGTCACTTTCAAGTTTGTGGAGCAACTAAGCATTTTCAATCGCCGCATTTGAAAGCTCCAATTCCTATACTACACATCCTACTGCTCCACCAGAAATAGTTTACTTTGCTCAGAAGAAAAAGACTGAGAATTGCTGATCCACCGGATGACTCTTCCCTTCCCATAGAAATACTTATTGGTAGTGATCATTATTGGCAAATTGTTTCCGCAGAAGCTCCAATCAAGCTTTTAGAATCTTTTGTTATGGTACCGTCAGTGTTTGGATGGGTTCTTAGTGAAACAAGAACAAATACTACAATCGCTGAGAAGACTTCTGTCCATCAAGTTTGTGTGCAAGTTTAAAACTGATTGTTTAAATGATCAGGTACGTCGCTTCTGGGAATTAGACTCCATAGGGATACAAGATGCGCAGAAACGAAAGAATGACTACTCGCGATGAAGAAATTTTTATCAGAATTTCACAAAACTTACAAGCACTGAAGACAATCGAAGAATTGTGTCTCTGCCTAGAAAATTATTGGTCACATCTTTGCCTACGAACAAAATTATAGCGGAAAACAGATTTCATTCTCTTCAAAAAAGACTTGCATCTAGTGATGTGTTAAAGACACAATATGACAAATGCATGCTGAATTATATTGAACAAAAGGATGTTGAAGTTTCTTCCATAGATGAATCCAATGAGAAGCCAGTATATTATTACCTTCCTCATCATGCTGTAAGAAAGAAAACGCAATCTGAAACCAAGTGGAGAATTGTGTTTGACGCTTCCTCGCATGCTCCAGCAATGACTTTCACTGAACGATACCTTGGAAGCTGGCCCGAATCTTCTTCCTGAAACTATTGGTTGTCTACTAAGATTTCGATTGCATGAATTCACTGTTACATGTGATGGTAAGCAAGCTTTCTTACAGTTGTCACTACATAAAGAAGATAGGGACATCAGAAAATTTTGTGGTACAAATTAAAATCTGATTCATCTCAACCTACTACTTTTACAGATGAAATAACTGTTTACAGATTTACTCGTTTACCATTTTGGCCTTACTTGCAGTCCGTTTTTACTCTGTGTTGCCACACGAGAATTGGCTGCAAAACATATCGCAGAATTTTCAATTACTGCACCAAATGATAGATAAACGTTTTTATATGGATAACTTTCTTGCTAGTATGGAAACTGAATCACGCATTATAATGCTATATCACGAGATCAGGAATTTAATGGCTCTAATGAAATTGCCTATGGAAAAATGGGCTTCCTATATTTTTAATAATTATTGTACAGTACAAAGTCCGAAATCCGGACTCGTCGGGAATTCGGCGATTCCGGATTCGGGGGCGATTCCGGATTCGGGATTTTTCAGGATAATAGATCATCAGTTTAAATCTGGTAAGATGGCATGTAGAAATTATAAAATTAAAAATATGAAATCGCGATTTATGAAATAATGAAGCATTTATGATCTAAATGTAATCTTTGAGTCTATGAGTATTATCAACAAAATCTATTTTTAGCATATGGAAAGAAATTTTTGGTAAATTTTTCCTCGTCAACACTTTTTAGCGCAACTGAAATCTGTAATCATCGCCAAGCGTAATGTCAACAAAAAAAGGTTACCACCCTCCTTTATTATTCAAATACTAATATAAAATAATTGTATAGGTATCGCTACATGAGTCATTATTCAAGTTGTCATGTTTTGATAAACATGCGGTCATAAAAGCAAAGTATAATAAATAATGATTCGCCAGGTTGGCGTCAGATCAACGATGTATCTGTGGAATGTTTCGCTTTGAGATGTGTGCCAAGCAATACGCAGCAACGGAGCCAAATTATTGATCGCATAAATTTATGCTAAAATGATTGTTTCTTCAATAACAAGGTATTTTATTTAGTGTGGAAGTGAAATTAAGAATCGGGACTCTCCAGATGTTTTATGCTGCACGGAGGGGAGGGGGAATCGCATGCGTATGCGTAAAGCCTAGGAGAAAAATTTTGTTGGCGGTTTTTAGGTCCGGATTTTAGATTATTCTGGATAATGGACGTCTGGATTTCGGACTTTGTACTGTATATTCTTGCAATTTTTTCTTAATGTACAAATTTCCAGTTTTTTATATATGTTCCTCCTTGAAGTGAACATTTTTTATTACAACTTTGTAATTTCTTTAATGCGTTTTACCAGTTTCTAATGCAACACGGAGAAAATAGGAGGCACCTTCAAATACTTTATACGGCATTTTATTCTTTTTAGCTCCAATTTTTTAGAATTTGATTTATATATATATATATATAAAACAAATATTCTCTCATTCATATAAAGCTAAGTTAAATTTTAAATTATGAAAATTCCATTATATACATATAAAAGATTAATTATTGCTGTGAACTAATTTGACTAATTCGCAATATCAATTAAATTCAGAAAGCATATGTAAATTAAGTGCGAGTATCTAAAACATGAAAAAGTATTTAATAATCCAAAAATTTAATCCTAAAATCTTTAAAGAATTTTTTTAAGATTAAAGTAATTTGCATGAAGTGAATAATTGTTGATCAGACAGGATACAGATCATTTCAATGAGAAGTTGCCTCCAAACCTAACTCTTCAATTACTGAATTCGTGTTTCGTCATCGATTTAGGCATGGGTAAAAAATTGTTCAAAAGCAAAAGTAGTGAATCGCTTAAATAAGAAATTTAACTATTTAAAATTTAAAAGAATTTTGAGAAATTCGACATGCAAATCGACTAGGAAACAAAATTATTAATAAAGTGTACATTGCTAAAGTAATTAAGAGTATAAATCCAAAGTAATTTAGAAACCTTTGCCTCTACTGACGAATTATGCATGTAAACCAAAATAAACTAACTAAATACAATTTATAAAATAATACAAAAAAGGCAAGTAAATAGTAAGTTTTAATTTAACTTATCTTGTAACTACATGTTTTTGTACGCGGAAGAGTGGAGTAGCATTTGCTAAATAAAGTGAGGTTGAGTAGCTTGTTTCTGCTAACTCTGCAAGCAGAGGGCGCATATACTGTGTAAAGTTGAGTGTTAAGCTGCTACCTGTGTGATCTATTGTAAAAACATAGCTGCAAACTCTAAAGTAATGTAAAATACTTGTTTTATGTAAAACAAAATGTTGCTAACTGCAATAGCATTGTAAAAAGATCAAATATTAATGAATTTTATGTCTATAAATGGATGCTTTTTTTGCGGTCAACAAACTTTGCTTTTTATTTCCCATACTGCTTAGAATTCATTTGAATTACTAGAAAATCTACTTCTATTATTTCGAAATTAATAATTAGCTGTATGAACTACATTTTTAGGAAGATTTTGAATTGTTATAATGATATTAAGATTTAGTCTGTTAATTTATGTAGTTTGTTACTGTGTACACTCTGTTTTAAAGAAATGAAATATGTACATATTATAAATCAAGCCAGCTTTAGTATTTTCGCTCTTTTCGATATTTCATGTTCCGTACAAATTAATCCAAATACACTTTTATTTAGTTGCCGCTTGTTAAAAAAAAAAAAAAAAACTTAGCTCACGCTCTCCGAATATCGGTCCCTGGGTGGCTACCTAACCACCTATGCTTGAAGTCGGCCCTGTGAAGATTATTGATATCAAGAGAATTTTATAGCAAAATGCATACAAATTAATCAAAAATTTAGACCATGGATGATTAAAATATCAATGTGATAAAGTTTTTGTAATTATATAAAGCTATATTTTCTGTTTGCAAGCTCATATCTTCTAGATATGAGTCTATGTTTTCAAATATATGTTATAATTTTTTAAAAAATAAACATATTTTAAAATCTTCTTTTATATCTCGGGTTGGCTAGAACGTAATTTCGATTTTTAGTCTGAAATATATATATATATTTTATACAAAAAATGAATTTTTATCAGTCAAATATGTATCATCCATTCTGTTCGATGAGGTTTTGCCATCTTTCTGGTAACTTCATGCTATATGGGTGATGCGATATTACTTTCCAACCAAGATCCAGTAATTTCGTACGCGTTGCTAAAAATGTGTGAGGCCTCACATTGTCGTAGTGGAACACGATTCCTTTGCGATTTGCCAATTCTGGCCTTTTCATTTTGATTGCTTCCTCCAATTTCATAATTTTGTTAGCAGTAAACATCTGAGTTGATCGTTTGGTTGCTTAGAAGCAGCTCGGCATACACAACAAACACCACTGTAATTCCCACCAAACTGGCAGTATAATCTTTTTCTGATGCAGTTTAGCTTTTAATATGATTTGTGCTGATTCATCATGCTTGGACCATGATCTTTTTGGATTAATGTTACTGTTAGACGATCCATTTCTCATCACGAATGATAATTCGTTTCAAAAAAGGATCGTTAGCATTACGTTTAAAATACGTATCGAAATGCGTTCCTTCTGTTAAGTGAATTTATTTCAATTCACGCAGAATGCTCAAATATCGAACTTCTTAACTAGTCCAAGACACCTTATGTGATTTTCAATTATGTGTGATACATTTAATCTTTTTTCGATCTCTCGCGCAGTTATATGATGATTCGATTCAATTATGGCTTTAATTTTGTCATTATATTCCTCAGAAGTTCGGCCAGACCATTAGTCATCTTCAAGCGAAAAATCTGGACAATGAAACTTTTTAAGCCAATTCTGACACACACGTTCTGTTAAGCAGTCAACACCATAAACCACAACCTTCACATATCTCTTTGTGAGCCTTTGCGTTTATGAAAATGAAAGTGTAAAATATGTCGAAAAACTTTATTTTTCCATTCTGCGTTAAAACTGACCGTAAACTAACAGTTGTAAACAAAAATACATGGAATTTGTTTCTATAGCAACATAAGAGCGTCAGCTGCCAAATCTCAAAAGGAAAACATTATAAGATGGACAGAATAACAAAACGAATACAGCGTCATCTATTTGTGCAAATTGAAATTATTTTCTTGCTAACCCAATGAAACGAATTACACAATTTTAATACTAAAAAGGAAACTGAAAATTTATTATATAGTTTCATGGGAACAATAGGATTAAATAATTCTTCCTACAAAATTCTTCTGCAGAGTTATAGAGTCATATCACGAATACTGAAAGCGTACTTATTACTGTAAGTTTAAAAAATTTATTTGATGTACTCTGAACGTTTCTAAATTAATATCACCAAGACTAATTCACCAGAAATATTAAATTGTTTACATGAAATTAAAATTTTTTTTCTACGGAATTGGATTCGAATGAATATATATTATATTTCGAATTAAGAAAATATGAAAAGTTTTTATAAAATATGCTTTTGTTTAAAACTCATAAAATAATTAATTAACTAAAAATAATTTTTCACATAGTTTAATGTGGACAAGATATTAACTCGTTCTTTTTGCAAAATTCATATATAACTTTTAATCATGAGCAATAAAAGCGTAGCTCGCCCTTGATAAATTCATAAAAATAATAACTAATACTTTTGACAAAGCATTTCGATTAATCGATTTCTTTATTTGGGCGCCCATGCTTTTATCGTTAGTGATAGAAAATTGTAGGTGAACATTTTGAAGATAATTATTAGCCCAAAAGTGTTAGCCTATTAAAGCTATTAATTTCGTTTCGGTATTTGGCATCGAAAACTTTAAAAATCTGAATCACTTTTCAAATTGTTGCCACCACATGTTATCGCCCTCCCAAATAGTACGGCTACGACGTTGCAAACTGGTCCGAGAGGTTGCAAAGTGGTCGGGGTAACTTTTACGACGTCTTTACAACGTTGCGAAAACGCAAAATATTTGCCGTTGCGTCTTGGCGAACGTCATGATATG